AGGGGGAAATCGGGGCTAAATCGGGCTAAAAATCCTGTAGTGTGAGCCAGGCTTTAGGGGTGTACTCACTTTTGTGGCCAGTGGTTTAGACATTAATGGCTGTGTGTTGAGTTATTTTGAGGGGACAGCAAATTTACACTGTAATACAAGCTGTACACTCAGTACTTTACATTGTAGCAAAGTGTCATTTCTTCAGTGTTGTCACATGAAAAGATATAATAAAATATTAACAAAAATGTGAGGGGTGTACTCACTTCTGTGAGATACTGTGTATATATACAGTATATATATATGTAAATGTAACTAATCTGTTAGAGTTACTGGAAAAAATGTGTAATTAAATTAGTTATAAAAATGTTAACAATTACAAAGGGATAACATCTAACACACACACACACATATATATATATATATATACAGGTGCATCATAAAAAATTAGAATATTGTGAAAAAGTTATTTTTTGTTAAACTTATTTCAAAAAGTGAAACGTTCATATATGCTCGATTCATTACATGTAAAGTAAAACTTTAGTTTTTTTGTTTTAATTTTGATGATTAGAGCTTACAGCTCATGAAAGTCAAAAATCCAGTATCTCAAAATATTAGAATGTTTCCTAAGATAAAAAAAAAAAAAAGATTTGCAATACAGAAAAGTTCAAGTTCTTTAAAGTATGTTCATTTATGCACTCAATACTTGGTTGGGGCTCCTTTAGCCACTTGGAAGTGATTTTGGCACTGTGGGCAGGTGCTAAAGTCCTGCTGGAAAAGGAAATCAGCATCTGCATAAAACTTGTCAGCAGATGGAAGCATAAAGTGCTCCAAAGTCTCCTGGTAGATGGCTGCATTGACTTTGGACTTGATAAAACACAATGGACCAACACCAGCAGATGTCACGGCACCCCAAATCACAGCACTATGTGAACAGACACCCCTTTCAGTAATGAGTCATGACCTTCTATTACTTACCCTCTTTGTGGAGGGTGTCAATGATTGTCTTCTGGACCATTGCCAAGTCAGCAGTCTTCCCCATTATTGTGGTTTCAAAGAACAAGAGATACCCGGAACTTATACTGTAGGGATGGTCATTTAATGAAACTCAAATGTAAATATTCTAATATTTTGAGATACTGGATTTTTGACTTTCATGAGCTGTAAGCTCTAATCATCAAAATTAAAACAACAACAACAAAAAACTTTTGAAATGTTTTACTTTACATGTAATGAATGTAGACTATACGAAAGTTTCACATTTTGAAATAAGTTACAAAAAAAAAGAACTTTTTCACGATATTCTAAATTTTTGAGATGCACCTGTATGTATGTATATATATATATATATATATACACACACACACACACACTATGGGACACCCCCTTCTAATGAACAAGTTTGACTACTTTAGTAATTTTATGAGTACAAATCTTAATGTTAAAGCATATAATGATATTCTAGGGAATATTTATATATAGTGATAATATAGTTTACAAAAGTCAATAAGCTATTTGTTGAACACTGGTGTTTATCAATTTTAAAACAGCAGAAAGCCACTTTTTTGTACCTCATAGATGAGGTGACGTGTGATGTGTAGCCAAGTAGGTGTCTCATACTTGGAATTTGTGCTCTGCATTTAACCCAGCCAAGTTCAGACGCACAGCGTGAACAGTCACCATTCATTTAAATCAGTATTATTATGTTAATTTGTGATTGCCGTTTGTTACAGTTACAGTTTTTCCTCCAGATCTCCACCATGGATGGACTTCTGTAAATGGAGGACTGCGCATATCTAACGCCACTTTCACCCTCTGCATCACTGTACTGCCTGCGCAAGTGTAGCGCATCTCTCACCCTCTGCAGTACAGCAGAGTTCGCGTGCGCGAGACACTGGATACGTCACTCACGCGCCAACATGATCCGCTGCACTAGTCTCTGTCAGAGACTATTTTTAAAAATCAGTTTTGGCCTGTTTTAAAAAAAAAACTTAATGTTGCAGGCATCACGATAATAATCAGTTAATGCTGTAAAATGCATACAAGTGTCAAAAAAGTCAATGCATCCAAATCTTCCAAGAAGTCCAGCACTCAGACAACTATCAGCAGATTCTTTACAAGTGCAAACGATAAATCTCAACCAACCGACCAGCCCGGGATTAAACGCCATGAGGGCAGAGGAAAGGTAAGAGCTTTATGTGCAGGAAAGGCACTGCTTGTTTACTCCGTAAAAACTCTGCACTCCTTTCATACTATAGAGTCATATCAACAGTTCAAGTCAAATATTCATCGCATGCACGAAGCTTTTGCTGTTTTTAAGCAACACCGACTGAAATCTAAACCTGTGCTATTTTAGAAGAGGTTATCTGATGGAGGAATGTCCTCAGAGAAACGGCCCAAACTCTCTCTCAGTGTGGAGGAGGAGAGAGAGGAGCAGTGCATGGTGACCCCCAGCACATGTAAGGACACATGCACCATACATGTCATTTATTTGTTTTTGTTGTTTTCAGCTGGTATATTTCACCTTTTTATTTTAAAATAGGCACAATGAACGAGGCTGGGCTGGCACAAATACGTTCTTAAACCTGTTCAGTCTACAGATAGTAAATAACAAGAATGGAGTATATGAGAGAAATGTCTCTTCTGACATTCACACTAAGTGGGGCTCAACAATTATGTTTTTTTTGCTTTTCAGAATTGTAAATAACACTTTCACTGACCCACCATACTTTTTATATATAGCAAAATTTCTGTGTCAGCAGTAGGGGTTGACTGATATGTGTTTTTCAGGGCCGATACCGATTACAACCGATATTTTGAACCTATATATATATGCCTGGTGTAATAATGAAAATTAATGTAAAAAAATTAAGAATAACAAGGGGTCTGACAAAAACTTTCTTTAAATGTGTATGAATTTTGTCAGCAAATTGTTTTTGAAAATGACCGATACGGGTAACCATAACATTTTTTAATATCGGCGGTAATAATCAGTCAACCCCTAGTCAGTTTTTCTTGAAAAAAAAAAGATCTAATAACGTAACTCCGTAAAAGCTATAAATTCATAAAGACAGCATTCCAAACATCAGAAAATAAAATGTTTAGGTTTGTAAGGCATGAAAACAAAAGTACAGTACATGATCAACAAAATGTGCTGACAGTGCACTACTAACTGTAATACTTGCTTGTGTATTAACCTCTTAGCCTCTTTTTAATTTTCTTTCTCTTTTATGTGCAATAGATAAGATGGTATCCTCAAGAGCCAGTGTCAGCCATGCCACCCTGTCGAGGCTTAAAGATTTCAGCTGCCCCGGGAGCTCAGAGAGCCGAGTCTCCGATCAGGTTATAAGGATGGAAGTGGAACCTTCAGACTCTGCAAAAGCTGAGAGTTCTGCCCAACAACAACACAGTGTAATGAATTCCTACAATGAATTGGTGGAAGAGGTCAAAGAAGAGCCTATTAAGATTAAACAGGTTTGATTCTATACAAAACTTGTATGTTTCAGAGTTGACCATTGAAAGACTGTTGTTTGTCAGATTGCATGTTTATGAAGTACTTGATTTGTCACTTAAAGAAAACACAGCTAATCTCATTCTCAGTGTTTGCCAGAATGGCCATTATAGCTGCTGATGTTTTTACTTTTTCTGTTTTCAGGAGTTTTCCTTTAGTCAGTTTGCTAAGAATACTGTGATCAAAAAGAGTTCAGAAGAGCCTGGTGTTCCCAACAGGAGAACCAAGACCATATACACTCCTCTAGAGGAACAGTACATGGAGATCAAAAAACAACATGCGGACACAGTGCTTTGCGTTGAGTGTGGCTACAAGTACAGGTTCTTTGGTGAGGATGCAGAGGTAAGAACTAGAGCAGCCCATCACAAATGGTGATAAATTATCCTTTTAAAGGGTTAGTTTAGCCACAAATGAATTCATCACCCTCATGTTGTTCCAAATCCATAAGACTTTTGCTCGTGTTTGAAACTTTATATAATTATTCAACCTAATATTTGTCTGACTTAAGGTACTTTAAGACAAACACTTGTCTTATACAAAGAAAACACTATCACTGCCTCAGCACTTGTGCATAAAATCATTATGCATTCGATTTTCAATCTTCCTCAAAATACTTTAATTACACTTAAAAAAACCCCCCAAAAAACAAGAATTTTTATTCTTAATCACTACTCATCAAAAAGATTCTATCACAAAGCAAAAATTAAGATATTTTTAATGAAACCTGAAAAATTCTGTCCCCTCACTGAAAGGCCTACAAAAAGTTCATAAAGAGAAAGTAAAAGTAATCCACATGAATTGAGCAGTTTAATCCAGAGAAACACAATCGCTTTAAATAATGAACAGATCACATAAATAGACGTACATACATAAAGCTCATGAAATATAGTAAACAGAAGCTCAAACGAATTTTAAAATTAGAATTTTACATTTGAAGTAAACTATCCCTTTAATGCAATGACATTGACCTGTTGGCATAAATGATCATTTTAGACTGCGCGTTTTTATTTTTATTTGTATTTTTTAGATCGCTGCAAAGGAGCTCAATATCACTTGTCATCTGGACCATAACTTCATGACGGCCAGCATC